CAGTTAAAGCTCCCACGACAGACAATAGAAAGCACCTGTGTCAGAATGCTAACGCAACATATAGCAAAAGCGGTCCACACTTCTACAATAAATAACTCACCTAACTTTAATATGAGAAGAGACCATCCGCTTTCAAGTTCTATTATGGATATGATAAAAGAAAAAAGAAATATCAGAAGACAATGGCAACGAACACGTCAACCTCAATTAAAACAACAAATAAATCAACTTACACACACAATACATAAAGCATTGGAACAAGATCGTATAGAAAAGTATCGAAATTTTTTATCAACATTTGATACCAACAACCCGGGCATGTGGAAAAGTACCAGAAAGATCCTAAAGATATACGAGAATATACCCCCGTTAAAAACCGAAGTAGGTATGGTGACGGAAGATAAAAGGAAGGTAGAAGTTTTTGGAGATTATTTGGAAACAAACTTTAAGGTAAACACTGACAATAGTAATCAACGTTTCTTCACAATGGTACAACAATTCAATGAAAATCATCTCCCGGTTAACACATTATGCGACCCCACCACGATAGAAGAGATACGAGCAATACTAAAATACATACCAACCAGGAAAGCTCCAGGACACGATTTAATACCCAATATAGTACTGAAAAATCTTCCAGAGATGTTTTCAAAACCGGGAAAAAAGAAATAGCGAATATCAAAACTACAGACCAATAAGCCTATTACCTTCTCTTTCCAAAATATTGGAAAAAATTATTCATACCAGGCTATCAGACATAATTGACGATCTAAAGATCTCGCCTAATTTCCAATTTGGATTTCGCAAATCATATGCAATGGTACATCAACTAACCAGAGTTACAAATATCATAGAACAAGATTACGAAGATAAGATGTACACAGCGGCTGATTTTCTAGATGTAGCACAAGCATTCGATAGCGTGTGGTTAGAAGGTTTGAAGTACAAGCTGCATCACATAAAACTGTCAATTTACCTACGAGCTGTAATATTCTCATGTTTGGAAGACCGCACCTTTATAGTACGTATAACTGGATATATATCAACAACAAAACAAGTGATAGCAGGCGTCCCATAAGGCAGCTTCTTATCGCCTTTGCTATTCAACATATATGTATGACATACCAATACCTAGGCTAAGCAGTCTAGGAATGTTTGCAGATGTCTTGGTAATTTTAACACAAAACTATGATCTGGAGGAAACTATAGAGCAGCTGCAAAGTTCACTCAACGATACTATTAAATGGCTGAATAAATGGAATATACAACTAAACCCAAAAAAAAATTTTATCCTGAGAAGAATAAGAAACCCTACCTTTCTAATAATAAATAACCAAATAAAATGGAATCCAAAAGAAAAAGCAGTAAAATATCTGGAAGTTATGCTAGATCAAAGGTTAACATGGAGTATACATATCAACTACAAGCTAAATCAAAGGTACAACAGATTACGTGAATTACTGCACGTTATTACCATATAAATCACTAATTCGCCCACTAATCACTTATGCTAGCCCGGTGTGGAGCAATACATTAAAAACAAATATTAAGAAATTAGAATCGTTACAAAACACGGTCATTAGAATAGCAGTAGATGCACCCTGGTTTGTTAGAACTGAACAAATAAAAAACGACTGAAATATAGAGGCGATTGAGAATTTTATACATAGGACAACTAAAACTTTCTTACAAAAGATCCAGTCTTGTAGTTCCGCAAGAGAATACAAGCTGAATATACGAAATCTACACACTCGACTAAACCGTCAGCTACCGCAAGATACTCATCTACCTGAATAATGTAAATTAAATAAATTCGAAGGGTCAGTCGCTTTCTAACGAATTAAAAATATAATGAATAGATACAAAACAACTTGTAGAACATATGTATATAATTATTTATTATGTTGATTTGGTTTACAAAAATAAAAAAAAAACTTTACAGTAATTTTTCACGAATATTTTCTTATGTAACCAATATTAACATTGACTGTACTACATTCAGAAAAAGAATCTCGTTCAGATTCCGTAATAAACATAAATTTAAAAAAATTAAAAAATATTTTCGTAAAAATGTTAATATGTTTATTATAACAAGTCTATTTTTATATTTTTGGGAAATAATAGTTATTTGTTTTAAATTATTTGTTGATTTCATTGAAAATTTGTGATCTAATTTGATTACATATAATGTTTTATTCCAATTAAATATCTCTATACAGGGTGTAACAAAAGTATGGAATATAGCTAGTAAATACGCTATTTGTGATTTAAATGAAAAATGTATCAAATAAAAGTTCCCTGGTTAATTATGTCTTCAACTTCAATAGTTGGTGAGAGTGTGAATCTCAGTTTATTTTACATAGATTTTTTATTAAATTTGGTGTACTTTAGGGTAGAGAAACCTGTTATGGCCACATTCAACTTTTATATTTCGGAAATTGGAATACATGCGAGAAAAAATCAAAATTGTATTTCTTAGCTCTTGTTGCTATAGGCGCCTTCCTTTTAAAACACAAAAAATAATTTTCAAAAGTATATCAATTTCCCCATTTATGGCCACCAAAACCGCCGTTATGGCCTTATAAGTTTCCACTTATGGCTGCCATAATTAGCTTGCGTAGAAATCAAACGCAATTAAGTACAAATTTTAGATTTTATTAGGCACATAGATACAACAAAAGTTAAAGAGATGAATACATTTATTGTTTTTGAAATACGTCTACAGCGGAAAACAATCGTCATCTTTCGACCAATATTTTTCAGTTAATGTTCTGCAAGCGTTCTAAGGATTTCTTCCTTTGTAATGGCACATTTGTGATTGGTTAACAGTTTGAAATGTGTCTTAGTCTAATCTATGCTTTAAGACATTGTACTTCAAACTCACCGTCATCCAACATGCATAAAATTTTTGCAACATACTTGTAATTGACCATAGCACTTTTTCCAACGCTCTTAAATGAAACTAAAACGTAATCACCTTCCTGTAGGTCTGTAGCTCCATACATAGCAATTGTTTCTTGATTTTCTGTCTCCATATACGATGTTGACGATATACGACTAACAACGACGAACATCGTCTAAGCTGCTCCCGCTTTTATTCCACTCTTCTTCCTCCTCTTCTTTTTCTAAACACTTTTCCTTTGCCTTTCTCGTCTTCTTTATCTTCTGAGGTTCCTCTACTTTATTTTTCTGAATTTCCCTTTTGTTCTTTCTCTTCATCTTTGAAGAGAAAGAACTCTTCAAACTCTTCTTCTTGAATTTTCTTCTCTTTGTCCTTGAGTTCAAAATATTCCACCCATTTGTCAGACGTAACAACGCTTAGAGTATATTCTTTCTTCCTTTTTGGTACTGTTGGTTTATGCAGTGGCCAAGAAATGACATCATTGAACACTGAGACAAGAGACCGTTTATTCGTGGCAAGTATATTCGACATTGTTGATGTTGATGGATCAACACTTTGAGCTCTGCTGTTGACGTAGAAATCCTGTAATTGTTAAGCAACAGCTTCATTCTCTTTGACATCAATAACGATTGTATTAGAAGCTTCGAATACTTGCATTACCTCTATTTCCGAAACTGGATTATTTAGTATGTTTGGTAATGTTTCTTGAGGGAGTGCAGGTACCTAAATGGGAGGGTCGGGGGCACTTCTTCCCTTACTGTGTGCCTCAACTTCATTTGCTACCTGTAGTAGTAGTTGTACCAAAGTCCAATAACATCACAGCTTCAACACTGCCATCCCAATCGTAGCTATCTTTTCTTGCATCTTTAAACTGTTGAAGAAGACCAGGATCAGTTTTAGATTCAATGTATTTAAGATAAAGTTTCACATTCTCAACATCAGTTATTGTTTTAGCCTGTACTTCCCGAATAATTATTTTGGAAAAATCAACATTTTTGACATCAAACGGAAACAATCCAATTGATTTATAGCTTGATTTGACATTATCAGGTACTGTAGGCTCATTTATTAAATTTGATAATATCGCTGGAAGATCTGCTTTTGAAATTTCGTTTCCATCATGATCAATGCGCCATTTGCGAACGGTCCTTTACCACATCTTCTTTAGTAGTCCAAACACAGCTACATCGAGTGGCTGTAAGATATGAGTAGAGTTTGGGTAAAGTGTCACAAGTACAATTTTGTTTTCACGGCAAAATCGACTAATTTCTAAACTCATGTAAGATCGATGACCATCAAGAAACACTATAACAGGGAATGTTATCGATTTCTTCTTTAAAAATGGTAAAAAAACGTTGGCTCAAACTCAAAGAAGCTTTCTGATGTCATCTAACCATTTTCTGTTTCGCCAATACGCCATCCGATTGCAGCTGCTGCCACTAAACTTGCAGGAAGTCGGTCGTATTAATATATGGTAAGAGGTGCTAATTTGTAGATTCATTGTAAACGTTTTGTCCTCTTGGCCCGATAATGAGTCCTCCTTTTGGAGCCAAAAAGAAGCAAGTCTCATCTATATTAAAGACGCGTTCTGGATCCCTTATTGCCACAATTTCTTCTTCTGTGAGTAAAATTTCAACTTTCTTAAAGTAGTTCCGTATTTTTTTCTCAGTAACAGTGCCCCTTGCTTTCTTGACATATTCAGCGTACTTCTGGGAGAGAACACGATGTTTATTTAGGAAAGAAGTAAACCACTTTTTGCCAGGCTTATTGTTGGAAAATGAGGTTTTCATATTGGAATAATCTACGATCTTCTTTACTGAGTATAGAAGACCTTCTCTATCTACGGGAAATCCCATTTTGTCACAATTCAATACTCAATTCACTAATAAATTTTCGCAGTATTTTCCCAAAACAGAATCAGGTCCACAGTGATGCGGCGATTCAACTGGACTCTTTCCAGAGATTTTGTTGCGAAGAGTGGTACGTGGTACACGGAATTCATTGTTGGCCCTTAATCAGCAAATTAGAATCAAAGTAGGAACTGAAATGACGCCGATTACACCATTAAACGTCAAAAAATTGTCAGTTAAAACAAATTATGGCACAATTAAGCGAACAACAACGAAATGAAATTTTAGAAGTCGCCTTAAAATTTGCGTGGAAGTAAATAGTGCCCAATTTGAACATTTATTGTAGTTTTTCTGTTTTTTGTTTTGTTCGTTTAATGTTTTTACAAACCCTATATTTTTTATAATAAACTCTTCAATTTGTTTTTTTAATCATTGAATCACTAAAGGTCTTGCTTTTGTGCATGATAATGCAAAAGATATTCCCTTATCTCAGCGCAGATTTCTTAGTGGATTTTGAGATTGTTCTTGAACAGCCAAGAGCTCATTTAATATGATGTCATCATCTGTGTGTGGCTTAGGTCGTCCACTTTTAGGAAGATTTTTAGGCGTATTTACTAGCTATATTCCATACTTTTGTCACACCCTGTATAATAATAATATTTCTGAAATTAATATAAAATAAAATGAATCAAATTAAAAAAAAAATAAAATAACATGTTGTTGAAAAGAAGACTTTATTCTTTTAACACAACGATTATATTGTGATCCACTCGAGAAAACCCAAAGATGAAAGAACGTCTGGAGTAGGAATGCTCCTGTTTAATAAAAAAATTACCGACACCAATACCAACATTGAATATAAACACGACAAAATACTAAAAGTCACATTAATAACAGACTAAACTCGCTAGACATAATATCAAATTACGCACCAGACATCGGAAGGCCATTGCAGGAAGCTAAATACTTTCACGAACAATTACAGCCGTTCATAGAAAAGCTACAGGACCAAGGAAACAATATCATGAAGTAATTAACAAGCTAATTAAGGAATAACAAGGATTTAAAAAAAGCAGGTTAACTGTCGACGCGGCCTTCGTAGTTAACCAATTATTGGAAAAACCAATAGAATATAACAAACCAGCATACTTATGCTTTACAGATTTAACGGAAACGTTCAACAGGATACGATTGCTGACCGTCATAAAAGAGTGGAGGTGTAAATTACTACAATTAGAACCCCACTTTAGTACAGACAACGATAACAAGGGCGGAATATAGCAGTGTAGACGTTTTAAGACGACGTTCATTGTTATATGTAGATAAAAAAATATAAAATAATTATTATTTATGATTTTTGTATAATTATTTAAAAATATATTGCACAGAACCGATAGTAGTTTGTTTCCAATAAATTAATTTATTACTATTTTCTACCATATGGTTTAAAAATATAGATTTTAGCAGTTCTATAACCAGTTCTATAACCATAACCAGGTTTGCGGACTTTTTAAAATAGGTTTCATTGTCTTATATAGTAATTTTAAATATAATGTAAAAAAGTAGGGTTGCAAAGAAACCCTGAAAATAGCTAACGCTTTAGAACTGTGAGAACACTCCGATTACCTAATACCTCAACAGTTAAAACACTACAAAATGTCGGTGCCTTTGATATTGGAGGAACCGCATTTTTTGACCTTGGTTTAAATTCCTCCTTCTGATACCCCGAGATGAAGAATCGTACCCTGAGATTCGAAGACTCGTTCCAGTAGGCTCTTGAACGAGCATGATTCACGAATGAAAAGGAATAAAGTGTCAAAAATTGCCATAGATGACAGAATAACATTCAAAAGTTCGCCAAGATAACCCACAATATGGTGTGAAGATAGCTGGTCGTCTGCATCACAAGAAATGAGTAGAATAAAATGGGTAAAACAAGCATCTATGGTTTCCGCAAAGAAAAAGAACAAGCAAACGTTTCAAGTCGAATACGCTTCAATTACTTCTCATGCATAGTTCCAAATTGCTTGTAAATATTAATATAGTCATTTGGAACGATAACGCGATTGTATCAATCGGAAATTTGGGATTTCTTAATGTATTTCTAAAAAATCAGAAGAGCATTGACTACGGCCTATAGCCCTTTTTAGCAAACGCTTTTTATATACCTACATACATTTTTTTTGTTCTCTTTCTATCTTCTTTTTTGTTATCGTAAATATTTCAATTTGTTGTTTGGCCTAAATAAATTCGATCTCTCTCACAGAAGAGCAGAGAAATCGGATCCTGTACTTCTTCTCAAATTAGGGTAAAAGGAGAAAACCCTATCTACTATTACGATGTTTGTGAACGATAGTAGAATCGTGAATGCTTTGTTGAATAGTTTATGATATTCTTCCAGTCAGCTCATAATGCGTAAAGATATCGTGTGGTGAAAGAACACTTTGAGTTCGTGTCTAAACTCAAAACAGCTTTAAGAGCTTTACCCCGAGACAGCTATCAAACATCAAAATGATAAGAGGGTTTTGGGAATACTACCCATTTTTAACACAGTGATTAACACCCCTGAATTCGTTTGGCGGGATAATAACGCCTTCGATATAGTTGAAAGAGACTTCGATAGCTTGCCTGTCGATAAATGCAACAATGTGTCCATTTTACTAAGAAAGCCTATTGCTTTGAAACATCCGAGAAGACCAGAGTAACAATAGATTTCCTAACACCATCGATACTGTAACATTAACAACGCATTGTGAGTAACGCATTGAGCACATTGTGACTACTTAGTAGGCATTATGTATTTAGCAATTTATTTGTTTAAATTTATACATTGAACTATATCAAAAATTAAACTTTCTTAAAAAAAACACGAAACGTCAAGACGGCTTCTGACCGGAAAGGTCAGTGGATACTGCCATGAATACTACTATTCAAGAAGTATTAAGAGCAGTTAACCTGAATTAGTTTGTGGAACTGACTAGCATTGATCTATCCAAGACTTTTGATAATGTTAACTATACTGGGGTATTTTTGGATAAATAAGGTGGAATACTTCAGAGTTCGAGGTGTGGCGCTTGACATCTTAAAATATTACCTAGGAAAAAAACCAAATTGTTGTTGCTGATGATATGAAGTCAAGGACTGGAAAAGTTAGGGTGGGTGTACATAAATGATATGCTAAACACACTTATCAGTAGTTAACCCTGTCTCTATGCTGTCAACTATACTGTCTACACCAAGTCGTTTATGCAGACTAATCAGTCACTTTAGCAAAGCTGACAATGAACCAATAATAAACAACAACAAAACACAACTTGAAATATTTAAAAATGTTGCAAAATTACGAACTTACTGTCCATAAAGTTTGATGGTGTACATCTAGACGAACTTAAATGGTGTATGTACTTGCAAACAGCAAGCATTAACACCAATGATGATGACGAAGTTCCTTTTTAAAACTTGGGGAAGTTCCAAACCATGTTTTGTAAAATGTATTATAATTACTATTCCGTCTGTTAAGCAATACATATTTAGATACATATTTAATCGTCAAATTTGATTCAAAGGTATTCAAATAGAACTTCGTTATTAATCGTTCTTTTTCTTTCAGTGGCGTTACAGCATAGACTGAACCTTAACCTCCTTCAATTTATACCTCCAAGAACTCCTATACTTCACAGCCGTTCACAAATTCCCTACAACAAGCAACTCAAAAAATTACTCTTTATGTTATGTTGTCAACGCGTTTGAGATCTTCCCATTGGGCGAGTTTGTGATCAGTTGACCTGTCATTACTCTTCTAGGGACCCTTCTTTCATCCATTTGTTCCACGTGTCCAGCCCACAGAAGTCTTCGGATCTTTACGAATCGCATAATATCCAGGTCTTTGTATAACTCTCCAACTGTCATCTTCGTTTATTGGAATAAAGATTTTTCTTAATTTTCTTATTTTAACGGAAGGTGTTCAAATACTGCTAACATTTCTTCTAATTTCTTTGTAAGTATCCACGCTACATCCGTAGATAACAAGCGATCTCATCAAAGTATTATATATATAGTAATCTTGGTATTTCGTTGAATAAGCGATGACCTTAGAACTGCATTAAATGCATATAATGTTTTAGTCCCCTCCATGATTCTTTGTCGTATTTCCTAAACGGTATCATTGTTATCGCTTCAATGTTATCGTCCCCAATCGTCCAGTTTTGTTCTAGCCTGTGTGTTGTCTTCAGGCACCATGGTTTCTTCACAATTCTTCATAGCACTGCTTCATTCCTTGTTTGGATCTCCCCATTATGACGTTACGTTGTCATCTGTGTATGCTGTTAATTGTGTCTCTTCTCATTAATGATGTTTTCTAACACTATATTGGACAATATGAGATCGGGTCCATACACTTTGACTGGACCCTTCGAGTTGCTCATCACCATACATATCAAATTCACTAATTTAAAAGGATTTCCTATTTCCTCATGGTTCTATATACTGCATGGCTTACTTAAAGTTTATGATGATGTTAAATAGTGTGGTGTCAAATTCCCATGCTTTTTCAATTACCTGTCGAACTATAAAAATCTGTTCTGTGGTGTATCTGCGGCCTCTAAACCCACCTTGGTGCTCTCCAAGTTGTCCTCGGTGTACTGAGTGATTCTGTGCCGTAGCATATCTGTTAGGACTTTATATGTGATACAAAGAAACAATATACTCTCTTCTGAAGTTACGTACTCAATAATTCCTAAAAATGCCTATCGTTACCAAATAACTACATATTTCTGAGCAACAGTATTTTCCAAGAAATAAATGTATTAAAAATCTGTTATTAATCGAACCGTCTCACCCTCAAAAACCAATCGATATTATGGATAGTGACAAAAATGGAATAATAGCACATCCGCCATAATTATTTCAGTGAGTAAAGTCAAAGTATGGCTTTTAAATGTTTATGTATTTTGCCATAGGTACGCTGAATTTGATTAAAATTTTGAGGGTGTGCTGTCCTCGTATTTTGAATGTGACAAAAATAGAATAATAGCACATCCGCCATTATTACTTCAGCGAGTTAAATCAAAGTATGGGTTTTAAATGTTTATGTATTTTGCCATAGGTACACTGAATTTGATTAAAATTTTGAGGGTGTGCTGCCCTCGTATTTTGAATGTCATATTTTCAATTTTTGAGAATGTCTCTGAGATGATGTCTCTGAGAATGTCGGTTTATCCTAAGGTATGGAAATGTGGTCTAGTGACTCCTATTCCTAAAACGAAACCAGGTAAAGAGTTTAAAGATTTGAGGCCGTCCTACCAGGTTTGTCTA